GATAGATAGATAGATAGATAGATAGATAGATAGATAGATAGATAGATGAGCAGCGACGCGTTGTGAGGTCATCATACACACAAGCACATGGTCCACGTTGCCATGGAAACAAGCATTTCCTAGTTTAGGCCAGACTCTCTCTCTCTTCTTTGCTTTTTTTTATTTATTCTTTTCTTTTACCAAGGCCTACAGGTTTGGCAAGCTAGAAAGTCATTCCAAAAAAAAGAGTCAGAATCTGAACCACCTACTCCCAGAATGTGATTCATAGGGAATAAAAAAAGAGAAGTCAAACACAAGCCAATAAGACGTTTATTTGTTTCTCCTTGTGTGTACTGTACAGTATTCTAGGTCCATGAATAATTCATATTTTAGCTACCAGCATTAAACAATCTAATTTTAACTTATAAAAAACAAACATGCATGGCTTGTTTGACTTCCTATCACAATCTCAGAGGTATGAACAAAATGAGGGGTAAACTTTATTTTATGTAGCAGCGAAATGTTTGTGTATTTTGAAGGTGTTTTCTTGTAAAAACGTTGGACTTTTTCTGGCTTTTTTTGTTTAGTATTTTTAGAAAAATGTATGCATTGTTTAGTCTCTGCCATTATTTTCTGGTTTCAATGGTTCAAGTGGTAGTTTAAACTATCACATTCCACCATTATCTGTTGTGTTCAGTGGTCAGAAACACTGTTTAAGGTCAAGAATTTGTAACTCAGATTCTGTAAAACACCAGAATCAGAGGGTTTGATGTGAGTTGAGCTTTGCTTCTCTGTTTGTTCTGCTATGTGGAGTCTGAATCCCATTTTCACCACATTTGGCCCCAGTGGGAATAAATCCATAATCACAACATGTTCTCCCTAATAGATTGAACATGACCATGTAAGTGGCTATAATTTGTGTTTGTCCGGTGAATAAAACAGGTGTTGTTGTTTATGTAAAGCCCTGAAAGCCTGCTGTGCTAATGGTAATAAGAGCGACCAATGACTGGCATCATACAGGGAAAACAACATTATTAAGATAAGATAAGATAAGATAAGATAAGATAAGATAAGATAAGATA